ATCTTGGACCCATATTGTCACACTAAATAGCAAAAAAAATTCTAAAGTTTTAAGAAATTGGGAACCAAAATTTCATATTTAGCCAAAACAAAGAAAAATATCTAAAACCTAGATTTGAAAACATAGAAATAAACATATATGCCACTGGCCATTTCAGTGGCTTCTGGTTCTATGAAGTTATTTATTTGACTGATGGAGGGTATACGAAACCAATTCCTCTGTGTTTAAGGTGAGTGCTTTTGTATATCAAAATTAAATTTCAATCCAAACTCAAATTCCAAAACAATCAGAGCATACAAACTTAATAACCCAAAAAGTTAATGAAACCAAACTATTTCAATTCCAATATAATCCAGAACACCAAATTCGCTTACCTTCGGTCAAGCGGGTTTTGGAAAACGTTGCGGAGACCGGTGGTGCAAGAAGATTCACACATTTGTTGTGGTGCCCTTCGTGCATATATAATCCATGTTTCCCTCTTTTTTCATCTGGTCTATCAGATAAATGTGAGTACTAAATGAGTGCATTTAAACCAAAAAGTGTTGACAGAGGCATAATTGGAGAAAGAAAAGGTCTTTATATCAATAAAAATCAAAAGATGCTTCATAATTGGACATAGAAATAAGTCTCTCTGAACCCTCAGTTGAGAACTTTGTTATCTGACTATTATATCATCTATAAGCTTAATCTGCTATGTGAATCGTTTCCGGTGTCTTCTAAGTTTCAAAAAACTCTGTGATGAGGAATACTTATGGAGTGTATGACTGTGGCTGTCTTTATTTCAATGCCTATAAAGATATCATGTTTTTACCTAGATTTCACATGTAAATTATTTGCTGTGAAGGGTATAACAAATAAATATGAATTTTTTTTATGGTGATGCACTTGTAATGTTTGTGCACCTTCGTGAGTTCAGAGTGCATCACCACCCTCCCCCATATGACCCACTGCCAAACCCACCCAAACACCATCTTGGTAACCTAGCCCTGATGCTACATACCCAATCCCCCCTCTGCTAACCCCCTCGCCCCTTTCCAGATTTCGCGGTCCTGTTGAGCCACCCCTGACAGAGGCATTCTCAGCAAGTAAAAAAACAGAGGCATTCCCAAACAGAAGATACAATATACAGTAAAAGGAAAATAACAATTGGGGAGAAAAAATAAAAACCAAAAAATAAAAAAATTGTAAACCTCAGTACCAACATAGAATGCATACAAATCAAGCATAATCATTTACAACTTAGAACAAAAGAGACTAACTTATGCAACACAGCCAAAAACACACCAAAAAAAGGAAACAACATTCTCCAAATACAAAATCCTCAAAGGAAGATACCATTCTCTGTCCGTGAAGCATCAATAATCTGAAAACCCAGTTCGATTTTTCATTGCTCGGATGGAGAAAATTGAGGAATGAAAGAACAAATTAGGGTTAGCACTAAAGTTGAGAGATGGAGAGTTGGGAGAAAGGAAGAGTCTGAAAGAGAGTGAAAGAGAAAGGATTAGAGAGAGGTTGAGTGTGACAGAGATGAGGGGAAAACACGGGATGGGATTACCAATCCCTGAAATCACTCTCCCTACCCCAAATCCCTGAAATCACTCATCTGAACGTGCAACAGAGCATGGTCCCATCGACCCCATTCCGGTTCCGAAACAAAGTTAATGAAAGTTCCCCTCTAACCAATGATCGTTCAATCACCGACACCAACAATTGATTTGAGGAGAGAAAATCAACCCTAACCCCTTTTTGGCAGCCTCACTCCTCCCTCTCCCTTCCCTCCCTGCCATCCCACGCCTCTCTCCCCGAAATCCGTCGACAAATCCTCCCATATATCTCAATCTCAGCCTAATCCGTGAGTTTTGGCTGAAGCACAGCCACACCAAATTTAGATCAAACCCTAATTTCCAGAATAATGATAAAAATCGACAAAAAATATATACAATTGGCACGTTACCATTGATTCGAGTTTTGGTAAGGAGTGCGGCGGCGAGGTAAGGCGAGGTGTGCGACGGCGAGGGGAAGGCGAGGTGTGCGACGGTGAGGCGCCGAATCGACTTTGTCGTTGAAGAGCTCTAGAGCAACATGGGTTTGTCGTCGAAGAGATCTCTAGAACAAAAGTCGGGTTTGCTTTCTACGATGCTCGACAAGTGCACGCTGAAGGGTGGTAATTTTCGTAAATAAATCGAAATTTTCAATCTGAAACTGAAGAGGCGGTGGCAATCTTGTAAATAAACTGAAATCAGGTCCAATGAACAGTAAAGAACAGTGCCAATTCCAATGCTTTCTTTAGACTAAAGTAATATCTGTTAGAAAAGAAATGCACAGTTTGAAAAATATGTGAATTGAAATAAATAACTCATTATTAGGAAAATAAGAGGGAGAGATTAAACATATTGACTGTAGTCTTCTCAGCAATGTTGAGCGAATCAAGGTCAACTTGATTTGTATACGATTTGGTTGACCTTAGTAAACCTAAGCACTAATCCAGCAGTCGTTGTCTCTTCCTTTTTTATTAAAGGGAATTTTAATGAAAAACATCTGGTACTGTTCATTTTAACGAAAAATCACATTTTTACATTAAAAAGTCAATCCTGATACTATTCACTTTACCCTTTATTTTGTCCTTATCATTAAAACTCAAAGTTTTCAAGCCCTTTTCATTAGTTTTCCTTTTATTTTAAAGGGGAGACAACTGATTTATGGTTATCCACTTTTTTTCAGATCCGAAGAGATTATGGGAAATTTTATTTTATTTGTGATTACAATCAAGCAAATTTATCAGTTCAAAATATCAAACCTGAAATCTTTTTATATATATATATTTTTTTTTGAGAAACTGGATAAATTCATAACTAGGGCCGGAGCCAAAACACAAGGAAGCCTACCAGGAGGCAACAACTAGAGGAGATAAACAGAAAGCAGTGAAGAGGGGAGAAAAGACTAAAGACACAGCACCAAATGTCAAGCGTCACCCTCTTCACTACCAAATTACAATTATGGAGGACAAGGGAGGCCTTGTTCATTAGGAAGTCGTAGTATGCGCCTAGCAGTTGTTGTCTCTTACACATTCCAAAGCACAACCAGCCTGTAAAAACAATCAAGTACAGCCTCGCGTTTCTAAACACGTACACTGAGGAGAGGGGAATAGAACCTACCCGAAATGAATAGAACAAAAATGGATTTGGATCTTATTCAGATTTAAATTGTAGAGATCTTAGGAATTTTTACATTTTAATCATTTATTGTGTATCGTGTGGTCAGAAATTATTTAATTTTTTATATTTAAAATTAAATATAAATAGTATTTGACGAAAATTGACTGCACGATGTATGATGAACAACTAAGATATAGGAATCCCTAAGATCTCCACAAAGTGGATCCAGAGAGGATCCTTTGGCACATATGAATAAACGCTAATTTTCAACTGCTTGAGTTGAGTTACAAGTCATCAATACGTTTAAAAAATACTAACCATGCGCAAATTGCACTTTCTTATGTGCACATGTTGGGGCCTCGAAATTTGGATAATCAATTCAAAGGAGAATGAATCAAAGTCTATTCACAAACAAATTAAAAACAAAGGGTCGCTTGAAAAGTGAGAGAAGTTTTGGAAGTTTGATAGTTCATGATTCCATGGATGACAATATTATAAAAAGGGATTACACAGTTGATATAGAGCTTGCTTGTGAAGTTGGTGGTGAAGAAAAATGGACGTGATCTTTCTCAGCCATGTTATTGTGCTCGCATTGCTAACAAGCAATATGGGAACAGTCAGCTCAAAAGGACAGGCACAGAGCATGACTCTTCCAGATGATGAGGGTAGGCCGTTTTCTACTACTTTAAAACTTGTTAGGATTTCTTTTGTATGTAACACTTTTACTCATAAACGCTTTTGAGATTGTATCTATATCTCTTATTAGAAACACGTCAAAAATTTTGTTAGTGCTTCTGCAAGTCAAAAGCATTTTTGATTGTCAAAAAACTTTTAACCTTTTCATAAGTTTTTATTTTTGTTTTGGTGTATGGCAAATTTGGTGTTTGTAATGGCAGTGGAAGCACTTCGAGAAATAGCTGCGCAACTGAATAAAAAGGACTGGAATTTCAGCGACCCATGCAGCAATATTCCAACTTTCTCAACCCCGCATACGGATCAGTACAACAATACTCTCTTCTGCAACTGCTCCATCTCTGTCGACGTCTGCCACGTCGAAAGCATGTACGTGTATATATTATGCCCCTTTAATCTTGTTGAACTATAATTCATTTTCCTGATATAGATTACAATGTTTGCTGGTAATTGGGTCAGAGGCATCATTAGCAAGTAAAGCAATTAGGTTATGAATCTATGATACATATCAAAGCAACTTAAAACCCAGCCAAACAAAAAAAATTTGTAAACAAGAAACGAAAAACTTCGGCCAATCCCTACTGAAATGGAAATACATTTTCAGCTGTATCGGCCCGGTCTCCCTAATTTTACTTTTCTATCTGACTCTCGGTTGAGAGAAGCCGATGAATATAACCCGCATGCAGCTGTTTGCACACTGATCAGCTGCTAAAATATAGTGCTAGTTATAAATAAATTGAAACTCAAAAACTTTTTTTTTTGTGTGTAACCTTCTCTTGGAGAAACTCTAGTAATTTCAATTGCCTTTTTGGCATTCGTGGATTTGAGAAACTGAATGTTTGGGTTACGAAAATTTGGGTTTAACCATAAAACTGAACTTCTGAATCGATTTGGATAGTAATCATTTCTTGCATTGTAATACAAGAGCGTATAAGAACTTCTCCTTCAATCCGGTTTGTTAAAAGCTTTTAGCACCAGATTTTAGCTTCTCAGCACGAAATTATAACTTGTGAATTGTTTTTCCTCGTCCTGCAGTTTTCTTACAGCACAGGAACTTGACGGTGTGCTTCCACCATCGCTAGCCAAGCTACCTTACCTTAAGAAAGTGTATGAAGAGCTTACCCCTACTTGTTTTCGGTTTTAGATTTTAAACCTCAAACCTATTTCTTCTTTGCTCACAGTAATCTGGGCCAAAATTACCTTAGTGGTCCAATACCGCACGAATGGACTTCTACGAAGTTGGAATTTCTGTAAGTGTCTTCTTCACTCATGAATGAGATCTTTTATTTTAAGTTTTCCTGCCAATGATTGAACTAATTGAATGTACGCGGTGTAGGGTTCTCAGCGTGAACAACTTATCAGGACCAATCCCAGCTTATTTGGGAAACATGATTACTCTCCAAGCTTTGTATGCTTTGAATCTACATACCTAATGTTATCTCATTTACATTTAATTTGATGTACCATTTGGTTGTGAGTCGTGACCGTGAAGAGACCATGCTTTCAGGGCTTTGGAAAGCAACTTATTTTCCGGAATTATTCCTCCGGAGCTGGGGAAATTGGTTAACATGGAGATTCTGTCTGGCATTCTTCTTTCATCCTTTTTTTTATTTTTTTTATTTTTATTTATTTGAAACTTCATATTTGATATTTTTTGATTTGCAAAACCAAGTAAAACATTAAACTGACAATGGTTTGACTTGGCACGGGTTTAACTGCAGCTATCTCCGCGCTAACAATCTAACAGGAGAGTTGCCTGTGGCTCTCACTAATCTGAATAAACTGAAAGTACTGTAAGTGGCCTTATTGTATTGTACATAACTAAGATATTTTCGGGAACATATCAGGTTCATGTCACCTTTTTCGCAGTTGGATTGGCAGTAACAACTTTACTGGAAGGATACCTGACTATTTTCTCAGTTGGAAAGAACTTCAGATGCTGTAAGAGATTTTTCTAGCACACATTGTAAGTCTCTATCTTCCTCTAATCTAATCCATTCCGAATGTGTTGTTTACAGAGAGATGCAAGGGAGTGGTCTTGAAGGGCCTATCCCTTCTAGCCTTAGTGCATTAAAGCATATGACATACCTGTGAGTGCCGTCTTCTAAGTTCCCAATTATACTTTCGGATTCTTTTCATATTTCTTTTAAAATACCATGGCTGAGGAGACTTGTACACCTAATCACTATCTTGAGATCATCTTTTGCAGATGCATTAGTGACTTAAGCGGTGTGAGTGCAGATTTTCCGAACTTATCAAATATGACAAACATGCAGACATTGTGAGCTATCTTTACGGCTTTAGTATTGTTTTCGATTGGAATAATCCGTGTGTGTGTGCGCGCGCGTGAATAATTTTTCTTATATGTGTTGCTTCACATTGCAGGATGTTAAGGAGCTGCAATATAAGAGGAGAAATCCCTCAATATATCTCTAATATGACAAGTCTGCAAGTTTTGTAATACTTCTGTTCTTCTGCTCTCTAGTTTAACCATCATAGTGTTAAAATAGGGGGAAAATGTTACCTATTTTTAACAGATTCAATTACTATACGAATAGAAAATCAAGATTCGACCTCAGTATTTTCAGTTCCTTTTTGGATTTAGTGAGTTGTCATTTGATAAACTTTTTTTACGTGTTATCAATATCATGAGTACATGGCTTCTGAGTTCTGATTGCTTACTCCTTCCTTTTGTTTTGCAGGGATCTTAGCTTCAACAGATTAACAGGCAATATTCCCAATCTTGTAAATTTATTGGGATTGGCCACAATGTAAGTAGTGCAAATTCGCTATCAAATTGCATGAAGAATCCAACTTTTTAAGTTTTCCCTTTGATGTTATAACTTTTGTTAATGATCAGATATCTGACAAGTAACCTGCTTACTGGGCTTCCGGACTGGATAAAAAATAGAGATAGTCGCTAGTACGTTTCTTCATCCTTAATCTTTCATATATTATGGTTAAGTTCCGTTCATATCTATCACGTACATAGCAACTTTAGTTTCTGTGCTTGCAAGGCTTCAACAAATAGAATGCATATGATTAAAAGAATTTAGAAACTTGGTATACAGATTATTATGCTGAACGAACTTCATGTTTATGTGCAGCATAGTAGATCTTTCATACAATAATTTTTCGGAGAACTCTATCCCAACAACATGTCGAGAAACCTTGTAAGAGTAAATGCCTTTTCTATTTCTTCATCTTTTCGTTAACCTGCTTGAGATAGACATGAATTCTGCTGTTTGATACACGTTACTGACTGGTTTCTTATTTCATCAGTAACGTGTTCAAAGGTTTTTACAGACAGAACAACTCGTAAGCTCCAAACTCAATGCAGTTTACAGGATTACTCATTTTTCAGCATTCATTCTTTATAAGCTAATGATTCTTTATTTTGGATGTATCAATGTAGAATTCTTAGCAATTGCCTCAGTCCATGTTCGAAAGGTAACTAAACCTGTCATAGAATCTGAAGTGTATGTTCTGTTTTCATATAAAATATTGTTCTAAATCCATCTATATTCTACCTGTTGTATTTTGTTTTTCCCGGTATAGAATATTATTCAGTGCATATAAATTGCGGTGGAAAACAATTGACTGTCGGAAACATCAAGTATGATGGCGATGAAGCTTCAGGAGGCGGAGCAAAGTTTGTTCATGACACAGAGAATTGGGGATTTAGTAGCACTGGGGATTTTGGACTTATAAATTATGACCAAGACTATATAGCAAAAAATATCTCTGTACTCAAAATGAACAACTCGGAATTGTACAGAACTGCCCGAATTTCTCCTCTTTCTCTCACATATTATGCCCGTTGCTTAGCAAACGGAAATTACACTGTGAAACTACACTTTGCAGAAATAGTTATGAGAAACAACAGGTCTTATTACAGTGTTGGACGACGAATTTTTGATGTCTATATCCAGGTAATCATTTCTGTATATACTTCCTCAAATGTTCCCAATATTTGTATTTATCACTCCCTTTATTTCTTAGCTTTTAAGTCGAATGATTTACTGTAGTAATATTGTTACAGGAAAAACTGGTATTGAAGGATTTCGATATAGAAAAGGAAGCACAAGGGGTTGATAAGGAAGTGATTAAGGTATTTAATGCAGTTGTCAATGTTGCGACTTTAGAGATCCGCTTTTATTGGGCCGGGAAAGGAACAAGTAATGCTCCGGAAAGGGGAATATATGGTTCTCTTATATCTGCTATCTCAGTGGAGTCCGGTAAGAATTTAAGTTAAAAGTTTTCTCATTATTTTGACTACAATCTTGTTGATCACTGTTCTATTCTCTGCTTTCACTTCTAGATTTCAAACCTCCTGCTGATAGCAAAACGAAGATATACATTGTGGTTGTAGTTGTTTCAGCGTTGTGCCTTTTTTTTGTGACTGCTGCCATTCTTTGGTTACGATGCTGTAAGGAACGCAGGACATCTACTAGGGAACAAGGTAATGTAAATACCGTTCAGAAAAGGAAACAAGAGGTAGCAACTTGAGTTACATCCATATTCAAATTTGCTAGAGTATATGCTTCTTGTAGTTTCTTGTTTTCCATGGTTATTCTTTCCAACATTGTCTACAAGCCAAAAGTCCCCCAAATTCTCCGTAAAAAAATCAGTTCACTGAGCTAAATAGCTAATCTTGTCACAACGACAGATCTGAAAGGATTAGATCTGCAAACTGGTTTCTTTGGGTTCAAACAAATCAAAGCTGCCACTAACAACTTCGATGCTGCGAACAAGCTTGGGGAAGGTGGCTTTGGAGCTGTTTACAAGGTATTCTATAACTCTCTTTTTTAAAAAAGCCCGTAGGCACTTTCCTTTTCCTTATTATATTCTTTTTGCCTATGACACAGAAAGTTTTCCGGATGACCTGAATTCCTCAGATTGTGTTGTATTTCAATTTGCAGGGCGAATTATCAGATGGTACTATTATTGCAGTTAAGCAACTTTCTTCAAAATCAAAGCAAGGAAATCGAGAATTTGTGAATGAAGTAGGCATGATTTCTGCTTTACGACACCCAAATCTTGTTAGATTGTATGGATGTTGCATTGAGAGAAATGAGTTATTGTTGGTATATGAATATATGGAGAACAACAGCCTCGCACATAGTTTATTTGGTAAGCTGGACAATCTAGAAGTGAAAATAGTTATAACTCGTTTCATGAATGTCATTAAGTTATTATCTTCGTTAAATTCAGGTCCAGAGGAAAGCCTAAAGAAATTGGACTGGAATACAAGGCAGAAAATATGTGTTGGCATTGCAAAAGGTTTGGCTTTCATGCATGAGGAGTCAACCCTGAAAATTGTTCATAGGGACATCAAAACTACCAATATACTGCTTGACAAGGACTTGAACCCTAAAATCTCCGACTTTGGTCTGGCCAAGCTGGACGAAGAGGAGAAGACGCATATTAGCACCCGAGTAGCTGGAACTATGTGAGCATCTTTTCATTTCATTGGGAATTGTACTTGACTCTTCTCTTTCACACTGATTTTCTTCATTTGCTGATCAGAATATGTGTCTAAAGTTATTTTAGTGAGTGTTGGTCTCCTGCAGTTAAATTAGGATATGATAAAACAACTTCCCCTTTGTGTTGCAGAGGATACATGGCGCCCGAATATGCATTATGGGGACATTTAACTGATAAAGTCGATGTTTACAGTTTTGGGGTGGTTGCACTAGAGCTCATATCTGGCAAAAACAACATCAAATTTCGGCCCTATGAGAATTATGTATGCCTTCTAGATTGGGTAAGATATTCATCGCATTCATTTGGCAGATGAAATTGGTAGGAGTCATTTTCCGTTTGACATACTTGTCATCCAACTTTGTGTTATCCTACACTTGATCAGGAAAATGAACTTAATTGTGTAGGAAACTTATTATTTGGTGTCATGAAAGGCAAAATTTCTACCCTCACGTTTTTCCCTTGTGCAATCTCCCCTTGTTTTTCCCTTGGTTCTCCTTTCATTGTTTCAATCCAACGGCTAGAAGGGAAAAAAATGAAAGGAGTGCAGGGGGAGACGGAGACATACGGAAAATATTTCTGAAATGAAAAAGTTCTGAAATTCATATAAAACAACAATCAAGACATTTCTTGTGGAAGTTCTTTTTCATTTTTTTGTTCATCTCCAGGGTCTTTTGTATATTGCAGGCTTTTGTTTTACAACAGACTGGAAATCTGATGGAGCTGATCGATCCAAAGTTGGGCTCCGACTTTAACAAGGAACAGGCAATGAGAATGATTAAGGTCGCTATACTATGCACCAACCCAGCACCGGCATTAAGACCTACAATGTCTGCAGTAGTGAGCATGCTTGAAGGTCGAGCTATAGTTCATGAACTGAACATAAATCCAAGTATTTACGGTGATGAAATGAGGTTTGAGTCCCTTAGAGACGAGTCTAACAGTCGGAGTGCATGCGAGACAGAAAGCTTAATTTATTTATCTGATCCAATAGCAATTCCCTCTTCCCACTCGTCTGTCCAAGATTTGTATCCGGTAAATTTTGATTCTTGATAGTCAAATCATCATATTCATACTCATAAGTGCGTCAGACATAAGGTCATTTTTTAACGAGTGTTAAGTTCTTCTAATCCATTATGTTTATGTGCAACTATGAAAATTATAACAAATCCCAAACATTGGCGAGTTACAGTTCATAGCGTTTACATGAAATAAAAAAGGCAAACTAAATTTGTGATTGGATCTGATTGACAATTTCATTCATCCACGTCGAAAAGAATTAAATGAAATAAAAAAGGCAAACTAAAAATAAATGTAAAGTTTGCCAATAATGTTTTTTATTGAAACAAGCAAGCATATGCAGAAGATTTACATACACTTTGATGTCATGAAGTACAGGCTATAATTAACTAAAAGTGGAAAGTGTATTTCTCTGAGATTGTAAAATTTATAAAAATAAGAGTTGCAATGTAGAGTGCTTAGTATCCTGGGAACATTGGTGGAGGTGGAGAGGAGTATTGGAAGCCGAAGGTAGGTGGCAGGACAAAGCCGAGCTCTGGAGGAGGCGGTGAGAAAACCGGGGGAGGAGGTGAAGGAGAAGGAGAAGGTGGTGGTGGTGAGTTCACAGGTGGTGGAGGTGAGTGGACTGGTAGTGGGGGTGAGTGCACACGTGGGGGAGGAGAGTGGACTGGTGGTGGCGGTGATTGTATAGGTGGTGGTGGAGAGTGGAATGGCGGTGGCGGAGAGTGCACAGGTGGTGGTGGAGAGTGGAATGGCGGTGGCGGAGAGTGCACAGGTGGTGGAAAGTGGATTGGTGGCGGTGGTGAGTGGATTGGTGGTGGGGTTGAGTGCATAGGTGGAGGAAGAGAATGCACAGGTGGTGGTGGATAGTGGAATGGCGGTGGCGGAGAGTGCACAGGTGGTGGAGAGTGGATTGGTGGCGGTGGTGAGTGGACTAGTGGTGGGGGTGAGTGCATAGGTGGTGGAAGAGAGTGGACTGGTGGTGAAGGTGACTGTACAGGGGGAGGTGGATAGTGGATTGGTGGGGGTGGAGAATGGATTGGCGACGGCAATGAGTGGACTGGTGGTGGGGGTGAGTGCACAGGTGGTGGAAGAGAGTGGACTGGTGGTGAAGGTGACTGTACAGGGGGATGTGGAGAGTGGACTGGTGGTGGAGGAGAGTAAACTGGGGGTGGAGGAGAATGGACTGGTGGTGGAGGAGAATGGATTGGTGGTGGAGGCGAGTGCACTGATGGTGAAGGTAACTGGACCAGTGGTGGGGGTGAGTGAACTGGTGGTGGTGGAGAATGGACTGGTGGTAGGGGTGAGTGGACCGGTGGTGGGGGTGAGTGCACTGGTGGTGGGGGAGAGTAAATTGGTGGTGGGGATGAGTTGACTAATGGTGGTGGAGGAGTTTGCCTTAGTGGTATGGGTGATTTAGGTTGAATTGGAACAACGGGACTTTGCCCTATAGATGCGGGTGATGGTGGTGTTGCTATAGGTGGTGGAGGAGAATGGAATGGTGGTGGTGGTGGTGAATGAACCGGTGGTGACTTAGGGTGAATTGGAACAACTGGACTTTGACCTGAAGGTGCAGGGAATGAAGGCATTTGTACATGTGGTGGTGCAGAGTGAATAGGTGGTTGCAGTTTTGGTGTAGGAAGGGAAGGTTTTGAAGGTCCTGATCCACCTCCACACTTTGCCTTACTACAATCCACTGGCTTGCTCACTACAACTTGACATTGTTTTGCTGACTTCTGTTTAGGCCTATCCGGCAAGCAATTGTTTGTGTCTTCAAACACAACGCCCTTCTGAGAAACCGGCACACATTTTTTGGCCTCACCATTGAAGTAGTTGTAGGAAAATGTGAAATTTCCCAAGCTAGGCAAGTTGCATAAACACTCAGGAACAAACCCGGTTAGCATGTTATGTGCAATGTTCAACTCCTCCACCTTTTGAAAGCCTTCGAATTTTTTCGACATGATCCCGTTGAATGTGTTTGAGCTAACATCAAACACCGTCACATTTGAGAGGTATCCGATTTCATTAGGCAAACACCCACCAAACTTGTTTTCAGAGAAGATGACCTCATTCAAGGTGTTCACCATCTTTCCTATGGTGTGAGGAATGCAACCTTCTAGACGATTGTTGGAGACCACAAGAACCGAGACGGGGGAGTTTCCAAGTGTGTCAGGAATGGTGGATGTGAACTTGTTGTTGTTCAAGAACAAAGCATCCAATTCCTTGTTGAAAAGCTCAGGAGGCAATTTTCCCTCGAAGTCATTAAACCTGAGGTCAAGATACTTGAGGTTGGGAATTTTGAGAACAACTTCAGGGAACGATCCCACGAATTGGTTGTTGCTAACATCAAGCTCGTGGAGAAGAGTTAACCTAGCAAAGCTCTTGGGAATGACACCACAAAACCTGTTAGTGTTGATGTGGAACAATGCAATGTCACTCAGCAGGCCTAATTCAACCGGAAGGTATCCTGCAATGTCTGCATGGTTGATATCAATGCCGGCCACAACCTCTATTTTCGGGTCATCAAGTGCAGGGGCACAAAACACTCCGGTGTAAGCACAAACATCACCACCAACCCAATTCTCAGTTGTTTTAAGAGGGTCTGAGTAAATTGCCTTTTTCCAAGCTTGGAGTGCAATGTATGCACGTCTAAGCCTGGTGTGAGGGAAAGTTACGTTCAACTCAACCTCATATTCTTTTTCATCGCGTTGGTCATCGCCTTCGTGAAAATGTAAGAGCTGACGGCGAGTAATGGAGGACACTTCGGCATCAGTTAGAGCGGAAGAGAATGATGAGAAGGAAGAGAAGAGAAGAAAGGAAAGTAGAAAGTAGACAGCCTTCATATTTTGGCTGATGAGGAGAAATTGGTGAACGAGGGAGATTATATTGAGAGGGAGGGTCAGTTTGGTTTGGTTTGTTTGAGAGGCTGTGCAATAATTTCTCTGTTGGATTCGCAAACTTGAGTAATTGCCTTTCTGGCTTTTTAAAATTAGGCACTGTATATTTAGTGTTTTTGTTGGACTGAATTAACTAATCCATCTACCACAACTAGACCTAAACTAATCCTCACCTGTAATGCCTTCTTCCCCATCCCCCAATTCCTTTTTCTTTCTGGTAAAGCCCCCACCCCATCCCCCAACTCTTTTCAGATTTCCCATCTCTTTTTCCCATCTTCTTCTGATTCTTCACTCTTGATTCTTCTTCTTCTTCCCTTCTGATTTTTCTTCCCCATCCCCCAATTCTTTTTACTTTCTCGTGAAGTCCGCGCTGCACCCCATCCCCCAACTCTTTTCAGCTTTCCCATCTCTTTTCTCCATTTTCTTCTTTCATATTGGTCGTTGCCCATAGAGACAGAGAAACAACCCTAAACCCCAAGTGTTAATAAACACTTGAATAACTTGGAATGAGTGCAATTCTCATTTCTCTCATTCCACTCTTCTTATGTAAACACACTATAATACCACAATTGGAAAATAAAAACAAAAATAACAAACATGAAGGCAGGGATTCGAAAATAATGGAAGCTTGACAACTCAGCTAAGCACTATTGTATTTAATATTCCCGCGTCTTATAAACATGTACTACTTTCACAAAAGGTTATTAAAATTCAGGGCCCTAAAAAGTCGGGGTCCTATGCAGTCGCACATATTGCACGCCCTCAAAGTCGACTTTGTTTCGATTTTTAAGGTAAATACTCTTAGTAGCTGGAGTTACAAGCCCCGGACAGACATTTTTTTAAAACAAACTATTTTCATCCAAATATATCACTGAACTTTTGGCCGTGCTTTTTATGTAAGTCAACAGAATATCATGAACTGGTTATTAACTTATTACTATGCAGAGAACATAAGCAAGGCAGCAAAAAATGCATTGCAATTCGTACCTGTCAAGAACAACAAATACCAAAAACAGCTTCGAAGGCATTCATATTCTTGGTTTTCTTTTTCTTTACAAAATGATTCAGTGCATATTTTTGCTCTTCACTTTGAGCTAAATGTCATTATATGTGTTAATCAATAAATGATGGAGGAATACTTACATGTCAATAAAAATTCACTTAGTTTATTTTTTTTAACATCATTATTTATTCCACATTTATACAGGAGATCCGTTTCCAAGTGGCCTATAACTTTTTTTTTTTTTTTTTTTTTTTTTTTTGCATATTTGGCAAAAGATCTTATGAAAACTCAATAACGCATTGCTCACAAAGATTGTAGGCTATCATTTTACGGGAGCATTTTTGCTCACCACCATAAAACTACGGTGTATGCTCACCATACATCTAATCAATTGACACGTGTCATTTCACTTAACTCTAGTTAACTTTCACATTAAATGTTAATTTTTCAATTTTGAAAAAAATTAACCAAGATTAAGTGAAATAACACATGTCATTTCACTTAACTCTAGTTAACTTTCACATTAAATGTTAATTTTTCAATTTTGAAAAAAATTAACCAAGATTAAGTGAAATAACAAGTGTCAATTGATTGGGTGTGTGGTGAGTATACACCATAGTTTATGGTGGTGAGCAAAAATGCTCCCATCATTTTACTCAGTTTTCCTAAATTCTAGAAAATTCTATTTTTGTGTCATTTTCGCCGCACAAAACTTCATAAAACGTATGCAGATGTCACAGCCCGTCCCGGAATTTTTAATTCCGAGGACGTGAAGTTACGAAAATGTCCCTAAACGGGACTAAAGTACGTAATTTGGACACTTGTTTTTACTTAAGGTTCTTAAACTTTGGTGAATTGGAATATTAATTGGTTTTAGAAACCTAAACCAAGACTCTATGTTAAAAGTTTGAAATTGAGATTGAGTTGGACACGGGGGGATCCCACATCCCTCAAAACCTTCCCCAATTCCCGTACCTTGTCACTCTCTCTCTCCTCCCTCACGAAACTCTCAGTTCTCTCTCCCTCTCATTCGAACTCACACGGACCACCACAAAACCACCCTAAATCTATACCAACGACGAATCTAAGACCACCATTGGAACCCTGAAGACTTCACGATCACGATGGTATCCATTTCAGGTAAGTTTTGCTTCGGAAAACCCTAGTTTTTAAGGTCCCGTGTTTATGTACTGTTCATGATCTTTTAAATGGTTACGATTTAGGCTAAAACAAGATCACAGCGAGCTTAGTGAGGTCCCAAGGAAGCTCGGAGTGCTTCGTTGGAAGGATTTGGACGTCGGGATCACGAGGGTTAAGTTTGGCCGGTTTTGCTTGGATTTTTCCGGTGAGATTTAGTTGTTTTTGAAGCTTAAAAGTAGTATATTGTGATTCTACATGTTGAGGGCTTTAAATTGATATATTATACGAAGAAAATGGTTGAGAAACGAAGGAGAACGAAGCATTTGAAAATTCCCCAGTTTTCCGGCCACCGGAAAAACCAGTCCGGCGAACCCGCGAGGAAGAAGGTGCGCGTGGGCGCGCGTGGACCCGTGCCTTCCTTGGCGCGTGGGGGCGCGTGATACATTAAAATATTATTTTAAAAATATGTCGACGTCCGTGACGTCGAGTAGATCACTGTGGTATATTCATATACCCAAATTGAGCACCGTATGAGAAAGTTATTAAGGATTGTTGGTTAGGTGTTCGAATAACGTTTTATAGTTTTCGCATTAGGTGAAAATGTGAATTGATGATCCGACCGTTGGATCGTTACCAAAATTTAATACGTTGCAATACGTAATGTTTGAGGATTATTGGAACTTACGGATTGGGAATCCGAGTTACGGATCTTCCGGAATTGGAGTTGTAAGTTCATAAAATAAAATGTTAACCGTCACTTAGTTTTGGAAATTGACGGAGATCCGACCGTTGGATGGTAATGAAATTTTAGGAAGTTATCCTAGAGATATATTGTGGACCTCTGGAAGTTATGGATTTAAAATCTGAGTGGTGGATCTTCCGGATTGAACTACGTAGTGACGTATTTTGTATAAGTTATATATTCTATCGATATGAATTCTGAGGTTGGAATTGATTATTGTTTTAGGCGCCGATCGTCATGACGCTTTGGCGTATTGTGCTAGGGAGTTGTAGGGCGAAACTCCAGGAGTGAGGGCAGTTTTGTTTTTCCGTATACATATATACTATACTTACCGTTTTCCCAGAAATTGAAAATGCATGAAATTATGCTTTAAATGCAATGTATAAAATTATATGAAAAGTATATTGAAATGTGAATTGAGATGCCATGCATAAAAGTATATGCATAGTATATAGAAATGTGAATCGAATTGCCATGCATGAAATGATATGAAAAGTATGAATTGAGATATGATGCATATGAATGAATGGTGCGGCGGACGCACAGGTGAGTATCAGGTGAGTATTTAAATACTGATATGATGATGTTGATGTATATTGAGCTCAAATCCTGCACCATAGTTTAGTGCTTATAGTATTCACCGCATCGCACGCTCGCCTTGGATCCAAGTAGATGCTGGTCGCACAGTCCACGCGGAGTGGGTGCGACGGGCCAGTCGAAGAGTGTTAGTGAGATTTCGACTGGTGGGTGACCTTAGATTATGTGCACAGATGATTAATGAGAAAGCACTAGAGCGTAACTTATGTGCAGAAGGCCGTACAGGTCACAGAGGTGACTCCGGCAGAGTGATAGTGATAGATTTTGAGCTCTAGGTTCAACCGTACAGGGCTATTAGAGGGCCTCCGGTTGATCACTTTCTTACACCTGATATGATTATTGTTGATGCATCCATAATTAACTGTTGAATTCCGACATGGCATGGCATATTTGTACTGAAAAATGTTGAGTTAATGAATTGAAGTATTGAGAATATATATGTATATTTATATTTTACATTTCTGGGAAAGTATACAGGTTTTACGGAGAGGGGTTACAACGTTTTGAGAAATGTTTGGATTTGGAAAAGAATTGTTTTACTGACCCACTCAATTTTGGTTTTGCGCCCCTCCAGGTTCAGGAATCACAAAGGTGTGGTGACTACGAGGAATTCGACGGTGTTCTGACAGATTGGACAAAATTAGGACTCACCTTCGGGTGTATCAACTTATAAATTGTATCTTAAAGCTTCCGTACTGTGCAAATGGTTACGTCACTCTCACGTGACGGCCAGCATGCCCTCCTTCGGGACGGGGTGTGTCAGTTGGTATCAGAGCATGGTTGCAATCTTGGACATTTTGAGAAGTTCTAGTGAATTCTGTCAGAACTACACCGCCTCGTAGCAAGCCACGTAGTTAGAGGAACTTAGTCTCCCTGATTTAGCGGTTTAGGGGGAAACTATTACTATGGTGATTCAGTCTATTGTCTAAAGGGACATTTTAAGACGGGTTATGAGTCGAATTTGAATCACCTTATGAAATGATGAACCTGAGGGAGCGAAGTAACGGTTTAACCATTTGGAAAAGATGTTTCAGATTATGCAAGTCAAAGGAATCTTCCTTCTGACAGGGGGTCGAGACGACTACCTGGTTTTGGGTATGAATTTGTATACTGGTGGAAACAGGAGTATGATTTGTTGTCACCGGAGGAATAGTCGATTGAGAATTGTTTAAGGACTTGTTTAAGGAAAAGTTTATCCCTCCGGCATTTATCGATGGTAGTAAGCAAGAGTTTGCAAATGTGAATCAAGGAAGTTGACGATAAAGTTAATGATTCGTCATATCAAGGATATAGAAAGATTCAGAGCTTCGAAAGAAGTGAAGCTAGAATTAATTCTTCCAGCTGAGGTTTTAATGTCGCTGGTCAGAGTAAAAGTGATGGATATACTGGTAATCCCAGATATTTGAGACAAGGTGTTTCGAGTAAAGGAAATGTACCTTGTGCAGCAGGTACAAAAATTAACAC